CACCTCACAACAGTCCTTTCTGAAAGTGTTCGAAGAAGCATCTACTGAGGAGCAAGTCCGGCTTTGATGCATGTGGACCAGACTTGTCCGACAAGCCGCATGTCATCTCCATACTTCGACGGTGTGATGTCAGGGCCAAAGTGCTGTGCACACGGTGCTGATGAAGCCCGCACGCGAGCGTTTCAAGGTGGGCTGGCCTATCGGACTGATTGGCTTCTTCGCCGGACATGTTCTGACCCATTGCAGGCAAAACTTCGGGATTTCCTGCCCCGCATGTCAGACTCCAAGTGCTGCTTTACGCTCATTTCGTAGAGCTGACGATGTGGTAAATCTGAAAGCTGGATCCATCGCTCCCGTTTTCCTCCAGGGTGGGATCTTTCTAGCTTGTATTTGCTGAAGGAGTGCGGAGAGAACATGAGTATGTGCGGGGCGGTGACTTTTGCGTGAAGATGCGTGAAGCTTCGGATCCTGGCTGCGGTGAAGACATACCGGCAGGCAATTTGGCAGGATAAGAAGCGGAACAGGGAAGGCACGAAAGAGAGAAAGGCGATTCGACACGCGTGGCAAAGCAATTTCGAACACAGTGCTGGCATGATGAGATGTTCCTAGTACTTATAGACATCAACATAGTGCAAGCTCGGGAACGATTCACGTGTCAAGTGCTGTTCGTGCAATGTGCTTGACGGCACTTGTAGCATGCCTATGAACGGCCCCAAGCACCCAAGCACCGAAGCTCCAAAGCCACCTCAGTCATAACATAATTCGGATATAGAGTGTTACAATAACTCATACATTCCGCCTCGAGCTGCCGCTCTGACACCCAAGGTCCAGACCCAGATGCACCATCTTCATGAGCAGCAGGCCAGAAACTGTCCACACGAAACGGTTCCGTGGATCTCTGTTCGGTCAGACAGGCCTGTTGATTGGAATACAGACCCAGAGATCGTGCTGGAACTTCTGAGTGCGGGCCTTGACAGACTTGCATTTGAGCTCTGACAGTTCTAAAGTATTGCATGAAGCCGTGGCGGAATCATCGATTCTGGCAGCTGTGTAGAGAGCTTGGACAACGTTTGTCGTTAGCTCTCAGACCGTGGGAACTATGAAACGTGGAGCATCGTGTTTTGGTCGCAGTGACGCGGCCGAAAGGGCACGTGGTGCAATTTATCCACCGTCTATTCAAGTCTATCCGCAACGCGTTGTTGAACATGCTGTGAAAACGATACATGTGGGTCAGGCTGTATAGGCGTCCCCATGCACTGCAGCATGAGCTTTCCAGCAAAATGGCTCGAGGCGAAGAGCTGGCTTTGCCCTTGAAGTGGAAGGCCCCCAGCACTGCACCTGCAGTGACGAGAGCTCTGAAGTAGCCGCAGTAAGGGCCACAAGACTTTGATCGACAATGCTTTCTCAAGATGGTTCGCCCCACCCCAGCGCTGCATCCGCGCACCTTCGCAAGTCTAGTTTCACAAAGCCTGTTTCAATGGTGGTCATCCTGATCTGCTCAGCCAGGAGTCTGTGGAGGCTCTGAGCAGAGTCGGCCTCGAAGATCTCTTCGAATGCGGGCCCTCCAAGGAGCTGAAGGCAACCCGGTGCTCGAAGCGAATGCCAAGCCAAGCCGGGACATTCTGTCAGCTCTCCCTCGATGCACAAAAGTAGGTGCAGCGCATATCGGAAGCAACGGCGTGAAGATTCTGATTCTGAGTCTAGATCAGTGTGCGGCGTCCTTGTATGCAAGACAACTTCAAACCTTTCACCCGAAGATCCTTATGCTTTCTCCACTAGTATTGGGCTGAGCATCTTTCGGGGCTGGGGATCCTGCTGGATCCAGTTCCGCGAAGTCTGGGCGAGGAACCTGACGCCGCAGTTGTGTCTCGCGCCAGAAGGGCCCAAGCTCCTGCTTGCTACCCAAGACTCGCACTCCGACACAAGATGCAGCAAAGCTTCAGAAAGGCTGACAGGCTTCATCGTTTCGATCACGGTTTCGGCTTTCCCAGTCGCATCTTGCGAATGCTCGCAGAGGCCATCCTGAAGCGAATCGATGCCGACGTCTGGTCGCGAACATGCAACGTGGAGGCAGCCAGCTGAATACTCACATTGGTGGCGGTGTCCTTTTACATTGATGGTAGCTTTATGTAGCTTGTGGACGCAAGTTCGGTCATGTGACAGTGACAGTATCGCACAAGGAACAGCGCTGGACTCCCCAGACGAAAATCCAGGTATGCACTTGTATCAGGCCAAGGAAAGAGACATAACTGGACCACAGAAGAGACTGTAGTGCGGCTTACTGTAGAATGTGTCAGAATCTTGAAGCAGAAGCATGTGAGACGAGTCATTGGACATATACTCTCAAAGAATGCAAGGACGATTCGAGTAGCGAAGTGCCGTGTCTTGCGTAACTATCTTTTCTGTCGGGCAATATGCCAACGTGCGGCAGCAACATGGCGACTGCCTCACTTTAGCTGCACAGTCGAAGCAGGATCATTGAGCTAGGGCTCTGTAGGTTGATTAGGGTGGAGCAAACTATAATAATATGTTTCTGTCGCAGTAGGTCTTTGCAGCCTTGATTTCCCGCTCTCATTCTGGCACGTGCAGGTGTGATGACTTCAAGCATATGAGTGATAAGTTTCACACGATCGAAGCAATTCCCCAAGTGCTTGTTTGCCATGGGGCTATTCTTTCCCGGCAAAGCATTCGGCGTACGAGCGAAAAGCAAAAGTGTTGAGACCTCTTTGAGACCATGTCGTAGTTCAAGGTGCTTTGACCTCCCCCAGCAGATCTTTGCGTGCAGTGCCTGCATGGCGATGAACGCCCAACGAGATGGATGTTGTCGTCTGAGCTGTTGAAGCAGACTCATTGAACGCCTTGACATGATGGCCTTCCTCAGTGATTCAAGCAGCACCTGTCATCTGCCCAACAATGCCGCTCCTCGATTTGGTGGAGCTTCCAAGCCATTGCATCATTGAAACACGCTGAGTCGTGGTGAAACAGGGAAGGTCCAAGATGATGTCGTTTGGCGAAGAGTTACCGCCGCAAGGCGTGTTCTGAGTCACAATTGCTTCATATAGCGAGCAGGTTGCTTCGGAGACGAGTCCACTGGCACCAAACAGCCGCTGCAGGATCGCTGATGTGCTTCTGATGCATAGGATGTTTTTGTCGTGTGATGACAAACATGTGTCGTGGCGAGTCGAAAGTGAGACAAGTTTCACCCGGTCGAAACACTTCCCCATGCGTTTGTTTGCCATGGGGCAGTTTTCATGAGCATATGTTGCTTGCAGCTCCGTGGACGTTGTGGCCGGAAACAGCTGAGCTCCGAAAGTTCGGTCGGATAGATATAGATAGATGTTGTCACCAAACACGATGGAGCAAAATCGTTTGAACACAGGTGAGTCAGCAGACACATACAAAACATCACAAGCAGGCCACACCGTAACATGATGCCCTTGCCTCGATGATGTTTGCTCCGACGGGAAGTGATCCTGCAAGCATCTTTGACATCCCGATTACAGCAGCTGTTTTTTTGCATCCGACGGTCGAAAGTGTCATAATGTAAGTAAGCGGTTTCAGACGTCTAATTCAGGAGAAGTTGTTGTGGAGGCTGAACTTCGGTCGGTTTCAGGTGTCTAGATGCTGACAAGCGCTTTGACAAAGTTATGTATCCGTGAGCAAAACACGCTGAAGGAGCCAAAGTGGAAAGCAAGGCTCATCCTGCAATTTCATCCTTGTCGCTCGCGTTTGATATTGGACTCCTTGGTCGCACGGCCGCTTTTCTCGATGCGACGGGCCTCTGCAATTTGGAGGCATGCGCGCGGTTTGTGCAAGGTGCCTTCCATGCAACCTCGTCCAATCCGGAGGCGTCGCCGTTCTTTCGAAGCTTTTTTTCTGGAGTGGATTTCAGCCGAAACTTAAGGTTTTGCAACTTCTGCTCTCGGCATTGCAACAACCGGGTTATGTCATGTTCCCATCGTCATTAGAGCATCGTCGGTTCCGAAAGAGACAAAAGGTCAGCTTGTGATTGCAGTCTACTGAACTGAGAATGTGTTAAGTTCGAGCACAAGCGGCATGGCAAGAGCTTAAAGCCCAGCATCCAGAGCTCCAGAGGAAGCACCTTGGCGGCGAGCTGCCGTCCAGCGTGGCCTCTGTGTGATGGAGAGCAGCAGCCTGCTGCTTTCAGCCGAGATCCATCGACGCCTGAAGCGCTTCTATGGGAAGCTGAGTTTGGTTACTTCGCCTGCAAATTGGCTATGGCCGATTCATGGTCTGGACGGGGCATCGAGGCTCGAGAAGATCACTGAAGGCTTTTTGCAATCCTGCCGTAGTCTTCGAGTTCATTTGTTGGAATTCGCATTCGACCCGGCGGACGTCCAGAAAGTGTTGAGCACTGCAAACGCGTGGAGCCCACCACCACTACCAGCCAAATCAAACCAGTACCAAGGCACTTTCCAGTCTTTCCTGGGAGTACGCGCGTTGCACCTGGAAGTTTCCGTTCAGCCGCTGATGACCCGGCAGGGTGGTGTCGAGTGTGCCCTGTTCCTCGAGCTACGGCTGGGCCAAAGCTTGCTCGAGAGCGCCTGGGCTCACGTCCTGGTTTGGTCCGGCACAGAGGCCTTCCCTGGCGATGCGCGCGGCGGCGAAGAGCCCGACGAGCCCATGTCGGCCATGCAAGTCCGCTTACCGAAAGGCCAGCCACTTGCGAGCGGGCGCAAGATGTAGAATTGAGAAGAGCAGTCCTCTGCAAAACTCCGCAGGTTGTGTGTGCTCCAGCCTGCAAAGAGTCGCTCGTGGCTCTGTGTTGCAGCAGGCCGCGGGCCCAGAGATGTTGCGCGTGGCACTGCAAGAGTCGCGGTGTGCTTGGACTGAGGCCTTGACGTCTCATGGCACCGTTCGCACTTTGCTTGCGTTCGAACCCTGCAGAACTGCAGAGGCGCAATGAGAGGAACGCGAAGAAAAAAATTCTGCTGCGTGGGCACATGATCAGATACAGGGGCATTTGCAACAGAATGGTCAGAGCCTGGTGGCGTTACGAAAATCAGCTGCTTTCGGATTTTGCGTTCGCGGATGGCTCAGCATTGTGTGAGCTGAGTGCAGACCCACGTAATTTCACATAATTAAAATGCAGCATCGTGAGCCATATCGGCAAGTGCGAGGAGTCGATTCGCGTCGTGACTAATTAGATGCTCTTTGTCAGGCGTGACAGGGAAATAAGATAAGCAGCAGCTGTAAAAGCCTTCGATGTGTCGGGGCTCTACGAAGCTCATGATTGGATCTCCTGATCTGACTGGGAGACCATGGCAAGCTGGGCCAACCTGCCACCTGGCACAGAGGCCGTGGGTTGCATAACAAAAGCATCGCCAGGTACTGAACTGAAGGTTTGTTTTGAGGTAGATGCTCGGTCGGGTCTTCTGTTTTGTTGGATCCGAAGGCTCGCAGGAGAGACCTGCTCTTGTGTTTGGAGCGACGACATCGCTTGGGATGGAAGGTCCTGCTTCTCGGTCGGTTCCCACAGCTGGAGGCCAGACTGCTACTAGTGTAAGCAACACACTATCTGGGTGCCACGTGCCTGGCAGCCTGGCAGAACTCCCAGTTCTTCAACACGGCCTCCAGTTTCGAGGTCGAGGTAGGCGATAAGCCTATGGAGCCCTCGAACTGCGGAAATACATAAACTACGCAACACCCGTGCAGGGTATCGAAGGCCCAGAGCCTCGCATCATCGTGGATGGCACCTTCTGCTTCCATGGGCGGCACCAGAGGCTCAAGTCATGCAATAGATGGAGTCACGAGTTCAGGCCAGGCATAAATGACTGCGCAAGTGCCCGACCATCGGTAGCATGTCGCCATCGGATGCTAAGTGCAGCAGTCGGTCATCGCATGGCGTCCTGAAATGCAGGCCTATGTCCACTAACCTCTTCTTCACAGAGGAAGGCAAGGGCGAGGCCCATCTCCAAGGTGCATCAGGGGGCGCGCACGGGGCTAGGAACACCCGGGATGCAGTTCTGATCCTTCCAATCCAGATGCGGGCTGCAATCTGGACATATGTGTTATATGTTATAAGTATAATTCACGCAGTTGGTTTCGGGGAGAAGGTGTCTCGAAGGGGTTGAAGTACGGCAGGTGTTTAGGGACTTCGAACTTCGAAATCTCAGATTGCATGATGAAGTGGACGTTGGTGTCAGTGAGGCATTGGCACATTTCCTGCAGCCATTTCATGTTCAACCTGCGGTTGTCCTGCGCAGACGGGTGCCTCGACTGCGTTTCAGACCTGCCAGCTTTTCTACAGGCAAGTTGTGCCTTGTGGAGATTTAGATGCGATAGAAGCGTGCAAAGTTATACGTGGGTTCCGAACAGTTCCGAAAGCACTATAGTCAAGCAGCTGCAGGCTGTAAGTCACTCCTCTGGAATACATCACATCCACAAAGCATGAGACTTCCTCCATTCCGTTTCTGCATGCCTCTTCTTCCGAACCTAGTCTCATGCCAAATAACGCGAGCCTTCTCTCGCGGCAGATATCCAGATCTGCAGCCACCTTATGCCTACGAAGAGTGAATCCGGCCCAGGTTCCTAGCAGCCTGCTCTTCGGAACATCGTTCCTCGTTCCTGCAGGGCGCCGGCCTGAGCTGAGATGTCAGCATCTGGGTGTGGAGGGGGCCGTTCATGGGAGGTTGCTGAGCGCAATGTACTGGTCTACAACGCCGATGATGAGGCGCCAAAAAGCGGGTTCTTTCGGGCCTTGAACATGTCATTGGGTTGGAAATGTCCGGATATGTCCGGCGATCAAGTAGTCCGAGCTGATCAGAGCGTCTTAATTGGCGCAGTTCGGACATGAACGAGAAGTATGGCACGCAGTACGGCCCTGTCCTGAAATGGTTTCTATGTCTTCTTTCTGGATGCTTTAAGATGTTCATTTGCTCTGTGTTGAGTGGCCTAGGCTACAGCCCCTACGACTCCTACGATGATTCGTACGATTGTGGGCTGCAGCAAGGCCTCTCAGTGCTGCGGGTTGTGAGTCGTCCGTCGACATCAGAGGTTTGCTCAGAATGCACTGGCAGTCTGTCGCGTCCCGTCTCGCGACCTGCAGACTGGATGTATTTCTTGGATGAGATCGACACGACTGATGGGTCTTGTCAGCCTCCGAAACATCGAGCTCAGTTATACTTGTTGACCCTTTTCTGACGACATTCTTGTGATGCACCCGCGTCCCTGCCAAGACTGTCCATCCGAAGCAGAAATGGAGGCCCTGCGCGTCCAGTTTAGTTCGGAGTGATCGTGGATGGCCGCTTGCGTTTCATTCTTAGTGCCTTTTACATGGCGTGTGAGCGAGGGCTCTGCAGGCAGCGCCTTGTGGCCTTTAGTGCTTCTGAGCCAGGCCTCGTTCAATCCTTCTGTCGTGACATCACCGATGGGGGCCCGGGTCCAAGGCCAGTCCAAGGCCAGTCCCGTGCCGCCTAAAGCCAATTTTGATTGGTGTGTTCAACCACGGTGTCCTGGAAGAACTTCTTAGCCAAGATTGAGGGCAGGAGCGAAAATTGAACAGTTGCTAGAGCCTCAAAAAGACGGCATCGTGAAAGTTTGTTAAGGAGTGGCTTCAACAGCACAGCGTCCTTTCAGCCGGGAGCGTCAGCAAACCAGGCTGTCGGTTAGATGTTTCGTCTCGCACCGCCGAGTCCATGATGTTGGAGCCGCTGACGCAGTTCGAAGCTTCAGGGTTTGCCGCCCTGCACTGAGCCTCTGCGTCTGACCGGAGCAGGCCAGGCAGAACGTCCCTCATCTCCCAAGGCTGGGCAGCTGGGAACACAGCCCTCCCACAAGCCACGGAGGGCCCAGGACTCAGAAGTTGGAGGTCTGGTGTGGTCACCGGAATCACGGCGCACACTCAGGCTGTGCCTGCGTCTGAACCCATGAAGGCCATCACAGTGCTAGGGCCAGGGCGGCCAGGGCTTGAAGCGCTTCGCAAGCAGTAGCCGGGCTTTCGGAGGTACAGCTCCCCCCCGAAGCCCGCTCTTTGCCAACGCTCCTGGCGCCTTGACACGAAAAATGCACCGCGGAGAGCGGAGACTGGAGCTCAGCTGCTCCAAGCTCCTCCAGGATCCTCTGATTCCTGCGAAGAAGATGCCAAAGTACGCAACGGAGCACCGCCGACGCCTGCTTTCTGGACTGTTGCTGCGCCGCAGCTCTGAGTCGAAGTCGGTTCAGCGTGGGCTTGGGACTTGGTGCCAGGTTTGGTGACGGCTTGAAGAGTCTGGATCCAAAGTTGCCAGCCAAGAAACGTGTGCCGGAGCGCAGAAGAGCGACAGACACCCTCCGAGTCAGTCAGAGAGAGGCAGCCCTGGCACCAGGAGATCCTTTCCGAAGCTGGAGCAAGGGCGATGGAGGCTGCCCAGTACTGGATCAAGGCGTGCATTAATTGGCGACTCTTTTTTGCCGCCAGGAGTGCGACTACATGCTCGCTGTCGCAGCCTCAGGGCTGAACATCTGTTTTGAGAACCAGCTGCGAGGATCATCATTCATGCGGGTGACAACATGCAGCTTTGACAACAGTCGCATGATGTCACTTCGGCCGTCTGAAAGTTTCTAGTTGTAGACTGCATCTGTCATTCATTCACTGTCGCCAGAATGAGGCGCGTTGATGAGTTTGACCGGTCCAAAGGCACGGCCCGTGGCATGAAGATGCTCGAGTGGCTTGCTGTTATTCTGCAGCTGCTTAGACGAACACAAGCCAGCTCTGCTAGCTTTGAGCAGTCCTTTGATGCAGCCCGGCCGAGCCTAGTCAACTCCTGGCGTCAGGAGTGTGAGAGACTATGAATGAGGCAAGCTTCCGAGGTCGAATGGTGTATTTATGACCTGAATGGTAATTCGCCGCATGGCGGGTCTCCTTCATGTCCTTCTTTGAGTCAGAGAAGGCATCAATCCATGAGATGCAAGAGTTCTTACTGGACATGCAGGGGGAAGTCTTGGGCAGTGCCGAAGTGCCAATAGGGCATCAAGGCATCTGCTGCCATGTCGTTAAGTGTCGGCAGAAGATCTACCGTGTGTTGCTCGACATGATTTACGGTCAACAGTTGCCACCTGATGATGGGGCAACTAATTTGCCCGGCGGCACAGTGGATGTAATAGTGCAGCTGCAAAGACATTCCGAACTTGAAGTTTGCAGATGGATCGAAGTTGGCTGTTGTGCATCGTTGTTGAGGTGACAAAGGTCTCACTCCACAAAGAATTGGAGCTCAGGTGGATGCCTGAAACGTAGATTTGCATGCCTTTACAAGGCATATGAGGCAGATTAGGACTATTGAAGGAGTGCGAAGCATTCCGGTTCAAAATTCGCAGCTTCAGCCTCAGCGATCCTCGATTCATGAGACCCTGCATCGTTTCGGTGTGGCTTCTGTTCTCTGAGGTTTCGGAGCATGACGAGTGCAACGCAGCCTTCTCAGTACAACAGTCCCTCTGACTGCACCAAGCAGCTTAGGGAATCTGAGCGCACTTAGACTGCTGAAGAGCGGCAATGGATCAAACAGGAAATCCACGATGCACCACCTCGCTTGGATTTCACCTCGCAGGGGCAGCTTCAGTTCCTGAAGGAAAGGTCGAAGTCTCAAATCCGAAAGACCAGACGTAGCACTTTTAGAAGCAGGGGGTGCGATGTGTGACAGTCAGCAGACTCCTGGCTGCAGAGAGCTTGTCAAAGAATAGCGAATCTCAGAAGCTTCACAATGTGAAGACGGCAGCAACGGCGAGAAGGCACGCGCAGTACGTCGCAAAATGGCGCCAGCGGAGTTCGTGCCGAGACGGAGCGAAGGGAGCTGCTATCAGCTGCAAACACTTCCATACAGGTGCATCCGAGCATGTGGTACGCTTTGAGCTGGACCGATCGGGCACGCACATCCAGAAGAAGGCAGGGAGGGTAAACCGACAGTCTTCCCTCCAAGCAGTGTAGGGCTTAGACAAGCTATTGCCTATCTCTCATCACATCGCGAAAGAGTTGCAACATGTCACAGACCCAACCCAGGCTCATGCAGACGCTTCTCTGGCCAAAGAGCCAGCAACAGCAGCGGCTTCCGGGTCAGCCGGGAAGGCCTCCGAGGCCCGGGGGGGGAACACGCCCCAAGCTTTCATGAAGTGAGACGGCGAGACAGGAGCCAAGGATGCATCCGAAGACCGAAGAAGAGCGAGAAGA